CAACACACGTACGGAGCGGAGACGTCTCCCACGCCTTGATCCAGCAAGGAGGAGGGAGAGGTTGAGGAAGAGAGCTCCAACAGCAGCACGACGGCGTGGTGATGATGGAGAGGCAGTACTCCGGCAGGGCTTCGCCAAGCTTCTGCGGAGGAGGATAAGTGTTGGGGAGGGGAGGGGTTGCGCCTTGGAGGTGTGTGTGCATCCCTTCCCTTGCCACTCTATTTATAGGGGGAGGAGGAAGGGGGCCGGGCCCCTCTAGATGAGATCTAGAAGGGGGGCGGCGGCCAAGGGGGGGGGGGACTTGCCCCCCAAGCAAGGGGGGCGCCCCCTTTAGGGTCCCCCCCAACCCTAGGCGCATGGACCCAAGGGGGGGATGCGCCCAGCCCTCTAAGGGCTGGTTCCCTTCCCACTATGGCCCATGAGGCCCTCCGAGAGAGGTGTCCGCTCCCGGTGGCCCCGGTACAATACCGGTATGCCCCCGAACCTTTCCGGTGACTGTATGTCAACTTCCCATATATAAATCTTCACTTTTGGACCATTCCGGAACTGCTCGTGACATCCGGGATCTCATCCGGGACTCCGAACAACATTCGCTAATCACATACAAGTCTTCCTAATAACCCTAGCGTCATCGAACCTTAAGTGTGTAGACCCTACGGGTTCGGGAATCACGTAGACATGACCGAGACAGCTCTCCAGCCAATAACCAACAGCGGGATCTGGATACCCATGTTGGCTCCCACATGTTCCACGATGATCTCATCGGATGAACCATGATGTCGAGCATTCAAGTAATCCCGTATACAATTCCCTTTGTAATCGGTACGTTACTTGCCCGAGATTCAATCGTCGGTATCCCAATACCTCGTTCAATCTCGTTACCGGCAAGTCACTTTACTCGTTACGTAATGCATGATCCTGTGACCAACCACTTGGTCACATTGAGCTCATTATGATGATGCATTACCGAGTGGGCCCAAAGATACCTCTCCGTCATACGGAGTGACAAATCCCAGTCTCAATTCGTGCCAACCCAACAGACACTTTCGGAGATACCTATAGTGCACCTTTATAGTCACCCAGTTACGTTGTGACGTTTGGTACACCCAAAGCACTCCTACGGTATCCGGGAGTTACACAATCTCATGGTCTAAGAAACTGATACTTGACATTAGAAAAGCTTTAGCAAACGAACTACACGATCTTGTGCTATGCTTAGGATTGGGTCTTGTCCATCACATCATTCTCCTAATGATGTGATCCCGTTATCAATGACATCCAATGTCCATAGTCAGGAAACCATGACTATCTGTTGATCAACGAGCTAGTCAACTAGAGGCTCACTAGGGACATGTTGTGGTCTATGTATTCACACATGTATCATTGTTTCCGATTAATACAATTATAGCATGAACAATAGACAATTATCATGAAGAAGGGGATATAATAATAATCATTTTATTATTGCCTCTAGGGCATATTTCCAACAGGCTCTATAGTATGCTATGCTGTGTACCGCACCTGAAGTGTGCCTTGCCATGAGTCAATCAAGGGGTACAAGAGTGATCCAGGAATGGATCACATGACAGCGGTCAAACTTATCCTTAGTAACTAGTGGACTAAGGAATTTTCTCGATTATGGAGGTGGTAAAAGAGTTCGTCGTAAAGGGTTACGTCGATGCAAACTTTGACACTAATCCAGATGACTCTGAGTAGTAAACCGGATTCATATAGTAGAGCAGTTATTTGGAATAGCTCCAAGTAGCGCATGGTAGCTGCATCTACAAGATGACATAGAAATTTGTAAAGCACACACGGATCTGAAAGGTTCAGACTCGTTGACTAATAACCTCTCTCACAAGCGAGATATGATCAAACCCCATGGGTGTTGGATTCATTACAATCACATAGTAATGTGAACTAGATTATTGACTCTAGTGCAAGTGGGAGACTGTTGGAAATATGCCCTAGAGGCAATAATAAAATGGTTATTATTATATTTCCTTGTTCATGATAATTGTCTATTGTTCATGCTATAATTGTATTAACCAGAGACCATAATACATGTGTGAATACGTAGACCACAACATGTCCCTAGTGAGCCTCTAGTTGACTAGCTCGTTGATCAATAGATGGTTATGGTTTCCTGACCATGGACATTGGATGTCTTTGATAATGGATGTGATGGACAAGACCCAATCCTAAGCATAGCACAAGATCGTGTAGTTCGTCTGCTAAAGCTTTTCTAATGTCAAGTATCATTTCCCTAGACCATGAGATTGTGCAACTCCCGGATACCGTAGGAATGCTTTGGGTGTGCCAAACATCACAACGTAACTGGATGGCTATAAAGGCACACTACGGGTATCTCCGAAAGTGTCTGTTGGGTTGGCACGAATCGAGACTAGGATTTGTCACTCCGTGTGACGGAGAGGTATCTCTGGACCCACTCGGTAGGACATATGATCACGATATGATGTGTTACGGAACGAGTAAAAGTGACTTGCCGGTAACGAGATTGAACGAGGTATTGGGATACCGACAATCGAATCTCGGGCAAGTAACGTACCGATTGACAAAGGGAATTGTATACAGGATTGATTGAATCCCCGACATCGTGGTTCATCCGATGAGATCATCGTGGAACATGTGGGACTAGAGTTGTTATAGGAATTAGTGTGCAGTTACCGAATGTTGTTCGGAGTCCCGGATGATATCCCAGACATCAGGAGGAGTTCCGGAATAGTCCGGAGGTAAAGATTTATATATGGGAAGTCCTATTTTGGCCACCGGAAAATGTTCGGGATTTTTCGGTATTGTACCGGGAAGGTTCTAGAAGGTTCCGAAGTAGGGCCCGCCTGCATGGGGGACCCACATGAATGTGGGTAGTGGGGGCAAGGCCCCACACCCCTGGTCAAGGCGCATCAATATCCCCCCTTAGAAGGAATAAGATCATATCCCGAAGGGATAAGATCAAGATCCCTAAAAAAGGGGGATAACAATCGGTGGGGAAGGGAAATGTTGGGATTTCTTTCCCCCACCTTTGCCAACGCCCCAATGGACTTGGAGGGCAAGAAACCAGCCCCCTCCACCCCTATATATAGTGAGGAGGCGCATGGGAGCCGCACCCCTTCCCCTGGCGCAGCCCTCTCCCTCCCCAACACCTCCTCTGCAGTAGTAGTGCTTGGTGAAGCCCTGCCGGAGAACTGCAAGCTCCACCACCACGCCGTCGTGCTTCCGGATCTCTCCCTCAACTTCTCCTCTCTGCTTGCTGGATCAAGAAGGAGGAGACGTCCCCGGGCTGTACGTGTGTTGAACGCGGAGGCGCCATTGTTCGGCGCTTAGATCGGAATCAACCGCGATCTGAATCGCTACGAGTACTACTCCTTCATCCGCGTTCTTGTAACGCTTCTGCATCGCGATCTTCAAGGGTATGAAGATGCACTCCCCTCTCTCTCGTTGCTAGTCTCTCCATTGATTGATCTTGGTGATGCGGAGAAATTTTTTAATTTCTGCAACGATCCCCAACAGCCGGAGCACGTCGGCATGGTGGCCCCCGACGACGAGCCCGCCCTCAAATGGGCGAGGGAGGACTACGTCCGCGAGCAGGTGCGCCGCCAGCGTCGCGTACCTGGAGACCCAGGCCCGTAGCCGCGCCGAGGAGCGTCGCCGCGCTGAGGAGCGTCGCCGTGTCGCCGAGGAGGGCAGCGTTATCATCATCGACAGCGACGACGAGGGCGAGGCCGGGCCGTCAACCGTTGTCGACGACCCCAGCGAGGGATGCAGCAGGCACGCAGGTGAGGCGCGCGGCAACGACGATGACGACGACGACTACACCCGCTTCTACAAGCTTTTCGGCATGTAGACGGCGGCGGCAGCGGCTTAGGCTTTTATTAGTTTGTTTTTAAGTTAGTTCATGCATGTTTTTAAGTTTTGTACAAATTTCGTCGAAAATTGGCCGAACTTCGTCGAGTTTGCAAAAATATTGAAACGAACTTCGCCTAACCCGCGGGCGCGTGACTGTGAGCAAACCGAGCCCCAGGGGGCGATCTAGCGCCGGTTCGCCCCCAGGCTGCTCTTTTTCGGCGCCCTGGGGGGCCGAACGGCTTGAGATGCTCTTAGAATCTTGAGAATTGACCCTCCACCCAGCTTCTCCCAGAATCTTTAACCCATATTTTTTTTTTACAATCCTAGCTAGTTAGGCTGGGCTTACCTCTCTTTTGTCCCACTCCTACACATTTTTCTTCCCTTGTCATGCGTAGTGGGGATCAATCTCTTAGGTATATAGGATAAGCAAGCAAGGTCTTGCACATTCACATGGTGGTCAAGATTGTAACTTGACGTATTATGGCATACGGTATAAAACCCAAGGACACTATTAAGGCTCTACAACAAATCTATACATACGGTTTCCTAATTATTTGTTATTTTTATTATGTACTCCCGATGAACTTTTATAATAGATCTGATGATTTTGCAAAAAGAAAAGGAAAAAGAGAGATAGAGTAGGATGATGGATAGAAGAAAAATGCATACAGAGTGCGCTCTCTTTTTTTTTCTCTCATCCGGCTTTGTTGAGAGGCCTCAGAGATAATCACGTGAAAAAATAACACATGCAGTTCCAATGCATTTGGGATTATCATCACCATTTCACAAAGCAAAGATAACACAAAAGATTTACACATGCTCCAGCCAAAACAAGCAAGAAGAAAAAAGCTTTGTACACTGAGCTCAACTAGAGTCTACAGCTAACATCCATCCACATATCATCAACTCCGCAGCTAGGCCTTGCGCGTCCGGCCGCGGCCGCGGGGCATATAAATACAAGTTTCAAAATTCAAAATTTTTAGTTTGCCCAGTTCAAAGCTCGTCGAATCGTCGCCTGGGATGGGCCTCATCAAGCCCTCTCTCGGGTGAACCGGCCATCTTTTAGCTCCTATATATAGATAAATAGATGTACAAGCCACATTGAGTTGACAAACAACAACAGCATGATCCTGCTACCCGATGTTGGCCACGAACGGCACCAGGCGCTTGTGGTCCCGCTTGCGGCCGAGGGCGCAGGTGTCGAGGACGCGCCCGAGCAGCAGCCGGGTGTTCTGCAGCGCCACGTCGCGCGTGACCAGCCCGGTGTCCACGGGGGCGGCGACGCCCTGGGCCGCCATCATGGACCCGAACCCCGACCCGGCGGCGTACTGGAGCGGCCCGCTCCGGGCCTTGAACGACGACTGGGGAAGCAGCATCCTCTCCAGCACCTTCTCACCCGTCATCATCCCCCCATGGCCGCCACCGTTCTCGCCCGACAGCCCCAGGCTGTCGTCGCTGCCGGCCGTGCCGCCGCCGCCGCAGCTCCGCAGCAGCGCCTCCAGCACGTTGAGCGCCTCCGCGCACAGCGCGCTCTCCACCAGCTGCGACACCACGTTGTACACCTGGGGGATCTGGGACGGGTCCACGGGGGTCTGCTGCAGCAGCGACTTGAGCATCAGGAGCACCACCCGCTGGTAGTCCAGAGGGCCCCTCTCCAGGAGCCTGAGGAGGTGCCCAAAGGCCAGGGACGAGTGCTTCGGGAACCACTCGGCGCAGATCGGCGGCGAGGCGCGCGCGAAGAGGTCTTCCAGCGAGATGATTTCCCCGTAAGAGTATGCTCTGAAGACCTCGGCTAGGACATGAAGAGATTTCACACGGCACCATCCTGAGATATTGGATGCCACATAGTAGGCCTTCTGGTTCTGTTCTTGTAGAGGCGAAGCTGACCCGAGGGAAGATACGTCCTTGGTGAGCTGCAACCCGAGCCATGGGAGCAGACCTGTGATGTGCATCAGCAGCCTTGTCTCGGGATTCCCAAATATAGAATCACATGTGGGTATCGTGATCCTAGATAGCACCTCGATTGCAGACCCATGGCTGGCGCTAGACATGAGCCCTTTCAGTACCAGCGGCTGCACGCCTTCAAAATCAGGGACCTTTCCAGTCTCAGTGACAGACAGCAGCCTCTCTGAGGTAGTCCTCGACTCCAGCCTGTGGAGGTCGCTTATATACCCATTGACGTCGAATTCATCACGGGGCATGCTGGAGAGCAACACATTCTCAGTTGTCCGGTCACGGAAGGTCAAGCGATCAATCACCCTACAGAACAATTCAAGCACTTGGCAGTAAATGTGGACAAAGTCGGTATGCATCAGCGCAACACAGCCCCAGAAGAGCTGCGGGTAAAGTATCACCTTCTCCGGCTCCATGTTCTCAACCATGACTTGAAGTGTTAACAAATTCTCCATTGCAAACCCCAGAACAGAAGGGACAGGGTTACCCAAACATCTGTGGACACACCTCAGAAGCAACACGCAGCTATCACTCTTGACACTAGGACGTAAAGCACGATATATCTGGTGCGATCGGCAGGCCAGGTGACGGGATGTGCACTCCATGGCCCACTTAAGTGCTTCAGCACCCCAAGTCTCACGAAGATCCCCCTGGAAGAAAATTGCACTGACCATGCTTTGTACGAGTGCTGACAAGAGTGAAGTGCTAGGAAGTTCAGTCCGGACAAGGGTAGGATCCTCGTTCTCCCACATCAGGCTGCCTCTTTTAGACTGGATGTATTTTATCAAGCTCACCACATGCTGCTTATTCTCCCTTTCACTGCTCTCAACCTCATACAGTTCAAGATGCCGGCCAGCAAGCGAGTAGAGGAGATTCACGAGCAAATCCTGGCAATGCTCAAGCACAATGTCCTCCGAGCTATCCATTGAAACACACGTGACATGGAACAACAGAGGCAAATTTTCACGGAAGTCCTCATCATTTTCATAAGCAATTTCAGCAAGGAGAATCAAAGCAATGTCGGCACGTGAAAGCAAGTGCTGGTGCCCCTGTAATGCAGATTGGAGCTCATTAGCATTAATCCCATGAATTCCACTGCCCCCCTGATGCAGAAATTCATCGTTTGAATTTGGGGTGTCAAAATAGTAGTCACCACTATCCCTGGAAACATGACGGCTCCTCAGATGACCAGCCGAGCTTCGGACACCCATCAACGGCCCTGACATGTTCATTAAGGCTGGAAGGAGCTGGCCTGACCGGCCTGTAGTGGGGTTTGGGATGTTGGTCACCTCTGGGGCCAATGGGCTCAATGGGCCAGACACACTTCGTCCAGTGACTGTCGATGTCCGCCAGCTCAAGTTTCCGCTGACATTCCTGATTGCGCCATCAAGAGAACCACGGACAAGCAGAGGGGACATGTGAGGCTGGCTATCAATTACTGATGATATCTGAGAGGTAGTAGGTCCTTGAGAGAACTCCAACACAACATTTGCAGAAGCATCAAACTTCCCAGGCCTGATTGGTTCCTCGTTCTCTTCAAGCATTCTCTGAGATAACTCACAGACCAAATGATCAATGGTCTGCTGTGGGCAAATTCGAGCTAGGTATAGACTGACACGCTTGGCAACTGAGAAGTACGTAGCAAATGCACCAGTGATCTCTGCTGATGGATTGGCATCGCAGTCCTCTATCCCTCTGGTAATCAAGAAGTTAAGCACGGGGATAATATTGCGAGTATTGCTTGCAACGGTGCTCCATAGTTTCTCAATCTCATCAGGAAACTGATCACCATGCTTCCATGTCACGTAATAAAGACTTTTCAGCAATCTCTCACTCCACCCAGACTCCTTTAATCTCACAAAGTTGAGATTTTCTATCCAAGGAGCCATGCATGTGAGGACCTGATGCTGTGCTATGATGTCCACTGCGTCAAGCTGGCGCTGCATAATTTCCCCGCATAGATGCTCACTGAGTTCAGGATGGTCCTTGGCGAGCTTTGAGGACAGCTTGTACTGGAATTGTTGGTAGGAGTCTGGAAGGTTGCCAACAACAGATGCCCGATAATGTCCAATGCCATCAGCATCATCTTCAGCCCATTCACGGAGAGAGAGTGTCTCCAGCATCTGGAGGGCACTGTCACGGATCAGTTTTGTTTGATCGACCACCTTGTAGAGGATCAAGCTCAAAAGTCTCTGGATCTCACATTTTGGAATTTCTTGACGCATGTAAACTTCAGCCAGAACACTGAAATACCCATCCGCTATTGCAGCGTCTGGAGAGTAGCACTGCAAAGATCGACACATGATTGAAACCATCAATTTAACAGTGATGGCAAGCAATACTGTAAAAACTATAAGCGTAACATCCTAGAAGGAAATAACCAAGAATGACTAAAGAAGGGACAAAAAAGAAATATGAAACAGCTCAAGTTTAGGGTATCCCCTGAGGCCCAGTTCTTTTTGGCGATTCTCACAGAATCGCCCCCCTCCCCAGCTTCTCCCAGAATCGTCACTTCGTAGTTTTTTTACAATCCTATCTAGTTAAGGTCTAATTAGCTAGGATTGTAAAAAAAATATGAAGTGATGATTCTAGGAGAAGCTGGTGAGAGGGGCGATTCTGGGAG